TGATGAACTGGTGTACATGGTGTGTGTGTGTGTGTGTGTGTGTGTGTGTGTGTATGTGTATTGCGTTTTGATGCTTTTGACGGGTGAATTGAGAGGTGTTTTTTTTTCAAGAGGAAACATTTTACAAAGTATCACAGTGGATTTTTGTTTTTCACAAAGCAAAATGTCGACAAAATACATTCATGTTTGCTTTGTTTTTAGTGACGCATTTTGCCATTGGACATATTGAAGTCCATGATATCGAATGGAACACAGATTTTTATTCCACGATTAAAATTAATGAATCGAACTTTTGAACACACAAGAGTGTGTGATGCACTCTACCCATTTTCCTCCCATAATTTCCATTGATTTAAAATACCTCGAGGATTTGCATTAATTTTTCGTACTTAACCCTCTAATGCATATATTTTATACAGTGCTGGGAATTTTTTTCCATGCTTATTTTACCTCATAAGCACTTAAAAAAATATTCATAATCTGGTATAATGCTGGAATTATCAATAAATCGCAAAAATCAAAATGGTCTTATAAGTACAGTCATGCATTTACGACCAATATGGAAATTGCGAAGTTTATGAACAAACCGAATTTGCATAGCTGTACTTATAAGAATAGCTTGCAAATTGAGTGATGTTGACATCGGAATTCGTGAATATCATTTTTTCTGGATTATTTGTGATAAAAATAGGTTAAAATAAAATGAAAATAAAATTCCACACTAAACCAAGCACACAAAATATCAAACAAAAAGAAATCCAAATTGCATGGCTGTACTTATAAGAACAGTATGCAAATTGACGGACAAATGTTGCACAATTGTAAAAAATCATTGAACTTGAATTGAATTTGGTTAAAAACACTCCAAATAAGCAGAAAAAAAATTCCTGAGGTCAACAAAATAATTTTATTCGATTTAATCACGTTTCAAAAACAGGACATTTATTTTTACGGAAACGTCGTTTTCTTGTACAAATGTTGCCATAACTTGACACTGGTTGACCGCACACAAAATTTTTATGAGAAAGAAATGTGCGCTAGTGTTCTCCAACGAAAACTGTCATACATTATTTTGTGACATAATCAATGATTCGCATTATAGAAAGGTTTAAATGAACCAACCTTATAAGTTCACGTATGCACTAGAGGGTTAATTATCAGTATCAATTTTTGGATTAAATACACGGCTTTTGTTTCAAAATATTTACGCCATTCAGTTGGTTGCGATGCTTTCCACCCTGAAACATTAAGCCGATTATAGATTGGCTTAAAATGGAAAGCGATTGGAAAAAATGGGACCAACTTATCGTATTAAAAAAAGTGTTCGAAAATTCTTTCTTGCCAAACTAAAAAAAAAAATGGGACGAATCGACTCTAATATTTTGGATCATTGCGAAAAGCGAAATGAATCACCGTGGGCTTAATGTTATGAATATGGGCGTCAAAATGGAAGTGTTATGTGTTCAAAGTAAAGAGAAACAGCATTTATTCGGCCAAAATCTGGCAGCTTTTTGTTGTTCGCTTCATTCCGTCGAGTATCAACAGTGAACATTGGTTTTTATCTCACACAAAAATAAAGATCAGAACAGTGATTCGAAAGAAGCTCTTCTATTTTCCTGTCGCATTTGATTCTCTCTGTTTGAACAATACGGGCACTTTTCTTCATTCAGGCAGAACAGAGGGAACAAAATACTATTGAAATATTGAAACAATGGGGCTGCTTAGCGCTTGTCAGTTTTTCAAAGAAAGCCAACGGAAAAGGAAAAAAAGTCGATACAAAAAATATAAAGAAGTTCGTCGAGAGAAATGGTACGAATCCGTTTCCGTTCACTTCCTTCGAATGTGAATAATCGTTCTTTTTGTTTTTGAAATGTGTCCATTTCCGATTTAACCATTTTTTGGCGCACAATTCCTCAAGAATGTGATGTTTAATCGACTGTTTTTCTTGACACAACCTACAGCACTACCTTAAATGCGATGCGAATGATTAATTATTTTCTCTAACCCTGAAGAATCAAATCTTGATAATGACCTGACAACAAAAATATAATCGGATTCAAGTTAAGCTATTGAACAATCGGCTTCTGATCGATATACATAGAACATTTTTTTAATAACGAAAATGTTAAAGTCAATGAGTTCCACGAAAAAAGGGCAGAATAAAGTAGACGTCAATTTTTACTTTACGTGGTTGTAACGCCTTATTATCTGTGGTGGTGTATTTCTGGTTTCGATGGTTGATATTTTTGTGTGCAGCATGTCACTTGAAATGTTCTATTTATCAATGATGCGACAATTTTTCCCTTGTTTTGATAAATAATCGTATCATATGAAACCGACCGAGAGTGGGTGGATGTTTGGTGTGGCAATCTAAATGATATCAAATTATGGAAGTTTTATCTAGATCATCTTCATCCGCCCAGAAGGGCGCCCATAGCACAGATGCGTTCGCTTTTCATCCATCTCACCGGGCGACATCCTCTTATAGAATTCATATTTCAAATGAATCCGCAACATCGTATAACATTCGTAACAGAAAAACGTCATTAAAAGTACTTGAAAGCTTTGGAAGCCTGGATGTATTTCCAAGGGAATTTATGTGTATTTTCATATGATTATTTGTTCATTAGGCTGCTACAAAACGTCTTCAATATAAATTCACCGTTTTATTGTTTCGTTTTTCCACATTTTTTTCCGCCCTGCTCCCTTCATTCGTTTTTTTTCTGGTTTTATCTTATTTGCTATGTTCACATCTCATTTTTCATTTGTTTGCCATGGAATAATTTGTTATGCACAGAAAACGAAGAGTGTCTCTTTCAAAACTTCCATTCTGAAATGATTCGTTGCGTCTTCTTCTTGACATGTTATTTTCTCTTTCGCTATGTATCTTCATCCGAATACAATCATTTCAGTTCTTTTACTTTTGTTCCCCTGGAAAATTCACTTTTAAACAATCTGTCATAAGAGTGGATAAATGTTTTTACTTTTATGAAAAAATTTTTTTTTTCTATCTTCCATTTGGATCGTATTATCAATGAAATATATAATGTTCTAGTAACAAGTTGAGTCCTTTCGACTTTGTGCATACACCGTTTATATACATTGCAAAGTGAAAAATTTGATAAATAAAAAGTATACAGAAACTTTTTTTATTTATTGTTACTGTTTCGGAGGAAACGGAAGCGCTTAGGTTAGATCAAATCATATAATTTGATAGAAAGTGTGCGAACGATAAAGATGGAAACAACTTCATCCGTGCTTTTCTTGTCGTTATGACAATTTCATTTTTTTTCACTTCTAGGCTTTTATTAAAGTGAGTTCCATTGAAAATCGAGTGAAAAACAAATTGTAAAACATTGGAGTTTGAGCGTTTCTGAGAACAAGTTCGCGTAAAGAGAGAGAGAGAGAGATGTTTTCTTGTATTATGAACTGATTAATTAGCAACTGGCTTTGGACGATAGTTCTTTGGTTTCAGAACTCTGAATAGAATGTCTTACACGCTGAAGTAACCTGATTTTCCCCCTGTTTTACTTCACTTCAGCTTGATAAGTGCATCACTGATGCATTGCATCAGCGCTGTTGCAAGTCACAACTTGCGACTAACATATTTTGCAACAAATTCAATCTGCGTGTGACATAATGCAATCATTTCTTTAGCTTTGAGCTATTCATGGCTGCTTTTGAATTTAGTTGTTTTTAGCACTACATGGAATGTAGGCTACTGTAGTTGTTATTTTTTTTCCCAAGAAAATTTTAAGAGTCTTTAGGCCATTTTTTTGGACCGTAAATTAATTCATTATTAATATCCATATTTTTTATTTGAAATGAAGCAATTACAATCATGTTCTTGTAATTCACTTTTGAGATAACTCAAAAAAAAATTTACACTTTTTTGGTTACCAATGTGAAATAATGTACGATGACCATTCACATTGAATGTACATAAAACACATAAGTGAAGAATACAATAAAATCATATAAATTTATTTAATTATTTTTGACAACATTAAAATGATTTGCATACAAAAAGTATACTACGATTAAAACTACATTCCATGTAGTGCTTACGATAATAATTTGATGAGAAACATCAAATTAATTAAACGAGTTAAATTTACAAGCTTCAAGAACGCAGAGCGGAGCGAAGCGGCGATCTGTGGTCTTGTTTTGTCCTACATAAAGAATAATTTTTACATATATGTTGATATGGATGCAGCAACAGTTTGAAATGTTGACAATGGGTAAAAATGGGAAAAGGAATTTCAAACGAAGTGAATTTATCCTTGTTACGCATGTCTAGAGATGATCATACTAAAGAAGAAGAAAAAAGAATGTGAATGTGCGGTTCCTTTTGGTAATGAATGAGGTCGTTCAAGGGGATGCTGATCTTATCTCTCACGAAAGATACGCACTTCAAGCCAGTGTTGTTTTTTTTTATTAGGATTATAATAATGTGGTCAACGGCAGAATATCAATGGAATTGTCCAAATAGACGGTTTTGAAATTCAAGATGCGCACTATGAGAATGAGGCTCTAGTGAGTGCACTTGAATGCTATGTTTTAATTTCGACGCAATTTGAGCCATTGTTAAAAGAATTCACTTCATCCAGGACAATGATAAATAAGAAAGAAACAAAAAGCATAATGCAGTCATTTGTTTGGGCATTGTATCGATTCACTGCGCTCCCCAACTACAATATGAATATTGTGTACATTTAGTGTATTGTTTATATTGCGCTCCTCTCAATTCATGTCGTTCATCATGAACATCAATGTATAGACATAAAATTTGTGCACGCAAAACACATCTCGTTTTTCTCCGAATTCCCACTTCGAAGCAAACAAAAACCAAGCAACGGAATCACGTGCATTACACAATCTTATGGTACATATAAGCCAATTGACGTTCCACTAAAAACGAAATCCATCCGCCATTTGCGCACGATACGACGGCAATAAGAAGTGAAATTGTAATTACTGTTTGTCATTCAAATGCTTACGTTATTTTCTGTTGCTATTATCGTTGTAGCCGTATCGAATTCGGTCATTGACGGTTGGTTTACAATGCGTTTGGTCAATCAAACACAAATTCGCACACTATACTCGTTGTCGCATACTCACAAAAAGATAATGTTTATGATTTGATTTTCGTCTGGACTAGACTCAAAGTTGGAAATAGTTTCTAGTTTTATTTCGGATTTTTTGTTCCACATTGACTTCACAATCTTCACTTATAGTTCACTATATTTATTTACGTCTAATGCAATACAATTCACTTAGATAATGGGTTTGTTTTCATCTTAAGTGATGATTCTCATCACGACAACACAAAATAATAATGCACTCGATTACAATCGATCGATTTCTAGTTTTCTAGCATTCCATTTTCACTTCAGCTGTATTCTGCTTATTCACTGAATTCAAACTGAGATAGGAATACCATGGATTGCGTCGATTGTTTATTGTATAAATAAAAGTGATTATTTATTATTGCCTCAACAAAAACATTTTCACGTTGGAATTTGATTAAGTTTTCCTCGTTCTGTTTCCAAAATTCGAAATGTAATGTTTGCAACGCAAATGAACAACACACTAACAAGCACTCCAAACACATGAAAATCCGTTACGATAACGTAATTTGATTCAAAAACACTTTTCACACAATCATCCATAAAAAATGAACATAATTTTTTTTCGTCGTTTGCATTAAATGTTCATATATTCAATTGTAATAGTGCAATGCGTTTGTCTAATTCAGCGGAAAGCGATGGAAAATGGATATTGCACTATGATAAGATTTTCAATTGGGATTTCCAGTGAGGAAACAACTTCAACACATATCAAACTCTACTAACGATAATTTAAATGTACATTGTACATGTATGCACCACATAAATATAATTCGGTGATGATTTGGGCGAATTCTGTGCTCCACGTGATTTGGTGAACTCCGTACAATGGATATTTATGTATATCATGTCGGGAAGGGAATCTAACATCGACTGAACGGAAAATCCCTGCAACATACAATTTTATACGCGGTGATGGTGAATGTGTCGACGAAGTGTCGATGTGGAAAAGGGGAAATGCTGGGGCATGGAGAATGCATGATATTCAACAGTGAACGACAACAGTTGTCGGTCCAACCAAATAAAACAAACTGTTGAACGTTACTGTGTGAAAAGCGGAAAATTCATTCCCCACTCTATTTTTAACCAAGGTTTTCCCCGTTTAGCGGACAATCCATCGACAACAGTCGCTTTGATTGGTCTCACTTTAAAAGTAAACACAATGCAAATAGTGAGCATTTTCCAACGAACATTTCAATTAATCGGAACGCTCTGTTGTTTACCTGGCCTAAATGCTGTTATCTTTGGCCCAAACCGAATTTAATCGGCATTTAATGATGACGCAAGTAGCGTGACAAGACATTTGCATTGCAAATAATCTGCATATCGCGTGTAACCTTCATAATATCCCGCCGCTTTCACCAGCTGCCACTTGCTTTTTCGAATCAATGACGTCACATCCACCATATTCACCAGCACTCGATATTCAATTTTACATTTACATACTTCATGCCGTGTTTCTTCTTCAATTAAACCAACGTCGTTACGTTCGATTCGGGGGCATGTTGCGACTGCTGTGAATTTGGCGTAAAATTAGTGAATATTACAAAGCAACTTTCGGCGTAGCGGTATGGATGGTTGATGTTGTTGTCATGTGAGAAAATCATTGGATTGAGAACGCGAAGGATGATATATATCATCTGAATACATATAAAATATGCAAAAGTTTTACTTTATATTCCGATAAAGAAAGAGCAATTAGGTTTTTGCCCAACATACGTACACATTTGATTCATTCACTGTTTCTACTTCCATTTATGGATGGCATTTCACATAAGACACAACCATAAAAAACGTTTTAAAGTTTTTCAATTACAATTTCATGTCGTTAGCGACAAAACCATTTCACTGCTGTAGTACGTGTTTAAAGATAGACATCATAAGAATAACAAACCAAAAACCCGGCTCAAACTTTTATTGCAGCGTTAAATGTAATTGCCGGTTGGTTGGTGTGCGCACGTATGACGAGAGAGAAGAAGAGAACAGTGCCTGGTTTGTGTGTGTATGCTTCGATAATTTGCAGCTTATGAACGTATGAATTAATTGGCAACGCGGTGAAATCTTAGTCTGATGTGAGCACGCTTCAATTACGTCTGCCGCACACTTGCTACACTCTTTACTCTTCGCTTGTATTTCATTTTTGGCCATAGAATAAATATGTACATTGTACATCATTAGCAAAATGTAGTCCATTTGTCGAATTCAAACGACTTCCTTGTGGTAGTTGTATGTGCGGAGCGGCGCAAAGCATCAAAGACATTGAGATTTCCCAAAATCAAATGCACACGCAAACAAATAGACTTGAACATGAAACTCGAGTTTCAGTGGAATCGAAATGACGTATGTTTACGAGTTGTCAATCTGTTCGTTTTTTCTGTTGGCTTCGAAAGTGGCAAGTGGAAATGTGGTTTTGTTTGGATTGCAATGGTTTTTCAAAAACTCAGCGAAAATGGATTTCACATGTTCTCGTAATTTAGAGATACTAAAACTCATAAATGCTCTGGCTTTTGCTACTATCAACAAGCACACATGCTCATTTCGTGTTTGAATGTGAAATATGGCTGAAATTTCAGACGCGCTCTCCATATTGAGTTTTATTTTTCATTAGTTTACATACGAGTTAATTGGCAGGGATTGCATTACAAAACAAACATTTGCTTGTTTCACGGTTTTAAAATCCGAAAACTCCGCTCACGGGATGAAACTGTTTTTCCACTGTGAAAAGCGTGCAAATGAAATACAATTCATGCTACCACAGACTCATCACACATACACTGATTCTATCCAAGCCTGTTTGACGGTGTTATTCAATACACGTAACAGTTGAAGCATGCTATAAGCTATTATTGCTGTTGATACGAATTGGTCAAGGTCGTCTCGCATCATTTTTTGGCAGCTGGAAATTCTCCTTGCAAAGCATTTACCATGCACATCAAACCAAATTTCTCCCGTAAATCGGATCATCAGATGAAATGTCGGTCTTAATCGCATTAATTTCACGTGTAAAATGGCCCGCAATATTCTTCTCGAATCAATTGCATATGTAACATGAAAATTGATGATGGACAAAATGATGCGGTATTTCGGCATCAACGTATTTTTGTCGCACAGTCGACTTTTTGGGTTGACTTTGTTTTTCGCTAGGTTTTTTCGTGTGAATTCGATTAAGAATAATCAAATAAGTTCTATGAAGGTCAAATTAGAGCCACAGGTAAATTCCATAGCATTCCTTCAACAATTAATTTCCCTTTTTTTCTTATGCAATCGATGCGAGTCTTCTCAAGTGATGATTCTCTCAATTATTTGCAAATAATCGTCTTTCCGTCGATTGTCGTGAAGAAGAGGTAATGTGAAACGTAAAGAACCGGTGTTTGTGTGTGTGATACTAAGAAAACGAAGCACATTGCCCTCTGAGGTGTATTCACTTGGAAAATATGATTGAAATAATTTGTGGGCGAACGAATAAAGGGTTATTCATTTTCAAAATATAACTCAGATCACGGTGATGAAGCTAAAACAACAATAACACGTATTTCCAATGTAAACATAAGACGTAAAGCTTACTGACACGACGCTTGTGGTGATAGTTGGAAAATTTCAATCACATAAGCGTATGCATGGCCAATAATCAAGGAGCCATTCGCGCAAACCGTATAAGTCCTATGCTAGCGTGTCTGTATTGTGTGTATATATTGACCGCTCAACGTGTATTGTGTGTATGACCACTAGAGGCAGGTTGAATGTTGTCGTCAGTATGTATTTCATAGCCGCGCTTTAGATGATGGAATGAATTTGGTGTGCCGACCACGATCACGGTGACATTCTTCTTTCTCGGCGAGACAGTTATCTAACCTATGGATTAGGTATTCGTTTAATTATTTCTGAAGAAAAACGTTCATTTTTAATGTGGATTATGTGATTGCAGACATAATATCATATCCGTTCATAGGATTTTAACCCATGCATTCGAAATGATTTCAATTTGGTATTCAATTTCGGTTTGTCTTTTATTTCGGTGAAGATCTAAAGAAGTCTTACGGTGTGCGAGCAGAAGACGAACAAGAAGAGCTGCCAATCTGAATATCAATAGGCAATCCAGATAGCGACGGGATGGAATGTAATCAACTTTTATGGCACGATTCAATGCCATGGAATAACCAGATTGTCAGTCGTTAATTTTATTAACGAACCGAATGAATGCAGGCAAATATCTCGGCCGCTGGAAAAATATCTCGCCAGCAATTAGAAAAAATGCGAGCTGATAAAGTTTGAGCATTAAAAAAAATTGAGCATAAAAAAAATTCGCCGATTTTTTTGTCCGAAAAACATAAACTTTTTAAAAAAACTTTAGCCATATCAAATTATTTTCTTCGGGGATACTGGAAAAGTTGTGGGATGGACAATCAACGAGTCGCATTGTCCATTTGCCGGTTGGTAAGGACTATGCAGAACATTTTGACTGGAATTTTTAATGAAAACAAAGTTATTTTTAGCAAAAACGAAGGATCCGAACAATATGGTGTTGGTGGAAAAAGCGTAAAGCAAAAACGAAAACCGAATAAAAATTGCGATAGAATCAATACGAGCTTTGCTGAAATGAAATGTAAATGTCACACATTCATTTTGCGACAAAAAAACCACTCTGTATCTGTTGTTGAACACATTTATGTGTGTTGCGCATTTGCACGTCGCAAAAGTGACAAAAAACAAGTTACGGCTGGATGAGGGGAAGAAAAATCAAATTTCGATTATTGAATTTTCTACTATATTTGATTTATTCACTTATGGATTTATGGATTTATCAAGCGGCAACAGAGGAACACGGGTATTCAATTCGCCGGCAAAGTGGTAACATTCCATGTTGATTTCATTACCTAAAGGTATAAGTATACTTATCGAACATTTATTTTTGTTTTTTTTATTCCATTTTTTATTTCGCCATGTGAATTTGTGCGTGAGTGTGTGTCGATAAGTTCCTATACAAATTCCGTAGTGTGATGAATTGAAATATTTATTATTGTACATACAAAAAAGCTCTAAAAATCGAATGGAAAGAAAAAAAACTGCCATTTTCTCCGAAAAAGGAAAACATTTTGATTTTTACACATACGAAACACCCTTCATCAGTTGAACGTATACATTATCGCATTTTACGATCCCGGTCGTCGTCGTCGTCGTCGTCATGTTTTTCGTCGTCGACTTCGTCGTCTTCGTTGTCTTTTCATGCATCATCATACCACGTACAATCGTGGCCCTTCATCAATTCAAAATAAGATTGCTCTTGAATATATGAATTACATGCATTGCTGAGGTGCAAACTTCTACCTTTCACATCTCTTTTTATCCTCTTAAAGGAGGGGAGTTAAAGAGGGAGAAACAGAAGCAAAAAAAAAACAATAAACGGAACGACAGTACCTTGATGTGAGTATCGTTGCCTACAAATCTCACGTTGGCTATAATGCAAAAGCTTCAGTAAGACCCTTGTATATTTCACCAAGAGACAATTCTGTCTCAAGTAACATGCAACTGCTAACATTTTCCCAGAGACAAGAGCAGAAGAAGGAGGAAAAAAGAGAAAACAAACACACAATAAGTTTCCAACCGAAGTGCAAACAAAGCGAGCGCTTCGTTGCCGTTCTGATTGTTTCCAGGTATTTCGATTTCAAAGTCAACGTAATTCGATATGCTTCACGTGTGCACCTATCAAAATGAATGTTCACATTCTGCAACGAATGTCAGCCAACTCATCTGTTTTTCTTCTTTTTCTCTTTGCGCGTCGTTGCTCTTCATACAATTTATAAGTAATAATGTGGAGCATGGCAAAACTTTCTGGAAAAAATGATAAAATGGAAAAACTTCTTCTTCAAACAAGAAAACCAAACAGAAAAAAAAGGAATGTCATGACTTTGCGTCATAGTTTTGTTTGCCTTGGGAATTTAAAATCGAAAAGTTTAGCTGGAGTGCAGTTTATTCGGTGGCTTTTTTGGTTGCAGTTTACCGTATCTACCCAAAATAAGTCTCGTTGCATTGCTGAAACTTTCTCTACTTTGTACGCTCAAGGCGAGAGCCACCAGGTTAAGTAGTGAATGGATTAAAAACAGTTTAAATATTGGAATGGTTTTCCCATGGATGTTGCAATCAAACCACTTGAGAGTAGAAAATGTGCTTTTCAACCGAATCAACTGCGGTAATTGTTGCGTTATCGTTCAATAGCTTCAATTGTTTAGGAAGAGGGGAGGAGGTTCCGCCAATTCTCTGAAGCATTGCTCTAAAATCAACTTCACTTGAACTCGTTGAAGTGTCGATAAATCTGTTCGTTCATTTAATCACCTCTAATTGATCAGACAACAGCAGAAAAACCGCAAGAGTATTCTGCTGCAACTGACGCACCCGAAGCAGACACCCACCGTTATGAAATATAAAGCGTCGATGGAACACTCCATCGATTTGTGCCCCGGTAACAGCACGAAGCGGTTTCCTTTTTATGTTCGCCTAAGTGAAAACTATTTCGCCCGGAACGGAAGGAACGTGCTGTATTTATTTCATTCAATTGTTGTGCATGTCTTACATTTTAACTCAATGTTGAAGTTGTTAAATCGCTTGTTATCGCATCGAACGTGTGTGTGCGCATCCGAGATGTGTATCCAAAAGATAGGTGAATATATCGAGCGTTACCAACGGTAAAAACGGTAACATACATTACACGGCGTGTTTGAGATTTTTCGTCTTTTTTCTCGCTGTTTATCATTTCGATCGATGCGGAATCCGCCCTTGACAACAGATCGCGGCAACTCATCACAACGTTTTATTTATTGAACATTTTCTCTCCCCGAGTGTGTGTGTGTGTGTGTAGCCTATTGTGTGAAAAGAAGTTGCTGGCACATTTTTATTGATTAGAATGATTTAACTAAGTGATGCGAGCTGTTTATCGATGAATCTCAGCAGGAGCAACACTGAGTAGTGCTTTTATATCCGTACAATTTTATTCACCATGAATTATTGCCATTGATTCATTTTCATTTAGATGCAGCCAGACAACAAGAACGCTTAAAGAATAATGGCACGTCACAATAGTTGTCGATAAAGTTAATACGATAAGAGCATATTGAGTATAGAATTTCCGCTGAACGATGAAAATAGCGATGACTTTGAATGGGATGTGACACAATACACGAAGTATTTTGCATGGTGGTGATGATGATAATAGGAAGATGTTATGTCGCTATTAAAGTAAATTTTCACATTTTCTTAAAAGACTTGAGAGACGAGATTTTGCACAAATAAATAGACAATATCGATTCAACAAAAGCGTATTGAATATTAATTCATAATGTTTCTCTTGGCATCTATCCGATTGTCACGCATGAAGACTTTCTGTTGACGAGTAAAATTCAATGGAACAAAAGCTTATGACAACACAGCAGTGATGGTTGGCAACCGAACGAGAAAAAAGAGTGGAAAACCAGGTGAGAGAGAAAAAATGGAGCTGAACGGATTCAATTGTACGGAATTTCATGATGTACGCCTGCAGTGTTAACAGTGAGACAGAAGCAACCTGTTCGAAGCACTTGTTGAATGTTGAGTGTATGATATGCTGTGAACGCCATAAGAAAAACTAATGGCATACGAAAAACAAAAGCGGCGCTACCTTCAAATCTCATTTGTTGCGGCTTGGAATCGATTTCATTTGTCTTGACACAATCGAATTTTCGCTCGATAACAAGAGGCAAAATCGGATTTTGTGTATATCGAAAGGCAATATCGATACTTGGGTTCGGTGTCGTCGTCTATAAATAACGATATCGGGAATTGGGATACAGTGCTGGCAACGAGGTGGGGGTAGAGAATTGAAATAAAAAGAACATTAAATGTCGACACATTTCTCTTGTTTTGTAAAGTGAAATTCGCATTGAATAGGCCACCCGATTGCGATTCGCAGTATTTTTTATCCGCCTGTGGTTGCGCTTATTTGTTTTTTTTTTCTCTTCTTTTGCTTGCTCGTTTCAAATGCGTTTCTATTATTGGCCACTGGCATTGTACATCAGACGTATAACGACATGTTAATAAATATCGATTCGCGACAATAAAATAACCGAATCGACGGGAATGCGATGTTCGTTGTATCGTCGCACTCAAAATGTGCAATGCCGATCCGTTTGTTTGCTTTTTTTCGTCTTTTATGCAAACGCTTACTTATTCGATCCTTCTATGGACTGTGTGCATCGCTTACAACGTAATCGGCCCCATGAGTTTTGCCGTGATTTATTACAAGACACGATTCTACAAATAGCCCAAACGACATTGCATTCAAAATCGAATGGCCGATTAACATACCGACCAGCAGAACTATAAATTGACGACGACATTTGTTATCAGTTTCATTTATTCGGTCAATTGTCGTCCGCATCACAGTGTTCGACTGGTCAAAATCGAGTTTTAAATTCAATTTTTCTTTTTTGTTCATCTCGTTGTTGAGAAGTTTTCGGTAAAAAAAAAATCGATTGAATTATAGCAACGATACCCTTTTTGTGTTGAACAATTTTTTTCTTCTGAATTTTTTTTTTCAAGAGAAATTTGAATTCAGTTGAATCTTTGAAATTTTCGTGTTTTTTCTGCGATTCCGTGTAGTATTATTGTAGTTTTATATAACATCATTTTATGTGAAGTGATTTAAATCGTTTTGCCATTTTATGGATTCAGTAAAGTAATGAAATTGCGTCGCAAGTTTCATAAATTCTGTTTATCTTCTGAAAGTCTTCTTCAAGCCAACGAAACGCTTTACTTTATTTCTCACGCAAGTTATCGTTCAACTGAAGTGAGGAAAGTTTTTGAGGGAAACAGCTTTGGATCCTTGATTCAACAATCAATTGTCTGATCCATTTGGTTGGTTCAAGCAAAGACATGTGTGAAACGATTTGCCACATTTTGAACTTGACTCCTGTAAAATTGGTCATTTCAACATTCTGACCCACAATCGAAATGTATCCATAGTATGGATTCCATACCCAGAAAAAGTGATTTAATTTGAATTAAACTTTAGTTGTACGATTTCCGTTTCATAATTAAATGCACAAAAATCAAATAATTCAATGCAACTGCATTCGAGTGAATGTAAAATACGCAGCTGCTGCAACATGAACTTTAAATCAATGGCTTTACAAATAAATGCACAGAACACTTGAACAAAACTCAAACAGCTCACTGGAGCTATGTTCATTTGCACATTTCCATTCTCTTTGCTTACCTCGACACTTCATACAACGTCATCTTGACAATTGGCAAAAGTTTTTTTTTCTCGAGCAAAGCAGTATTTCTTACAGCGTAACTTTGTATGCGAGGGAAGGAGAGAAAGATAGGAAAAAAAGAGTAACTGCTGCAACAACTACGAAACTAATGAACGAATAACAACTAGAATGAAGCTCATATTTACGAGCAAACTTCTTTTACTGCATTCATATTTCGAGTGTAAAGTAGCTGAGTTAAAGAAAACATAAAACCGAATCGAAACGCAATAAAAAAAACAGCACGAAGAAATGCAAAAGTGAAACTTTGTCGCATTTTTGCCATTTAGAAAAATGCGATTCGGAAATGTTGTCGCATTAAGTGGTTTTTCCATTTAATTTTGTTTCATCGTTTTCTTTTTGTCGCCTGCAGATTTTAATACGTCAAGATGTGTGATGATGATGCCGGAGCTCTTGTCTTTGACAATGGAAGCGGTATGTGCAAGGCTGGATTCGCTGGTGATGATGCGCCACGTGCCGTGTTCCCATCGATTGTCGGTCGTCCACGTCATCAGGGTGTGATGGTTGGTATGGGTCAAAAGGATTGCTATGTCGGCGATGAGGCTCAAAGCAAACGTGGTATTCTAACACTTAAATACCCAATCGAACATGGTATCATCACCAATTGGGATGACATGGAAAAGATTTGGCATCATTCATTTTACAATGAATTGCGTGTGGCGCCCGAAGAGCATCCAATTTTGTTGACTGAGGCACCATTGAATCCAAAAGCTAACCGAGAGAAAATGACGCAAATTATGTTTGAAACGTTTGCCAGTCCAGCTGTCTATGTTGCCATCCAAGCTGTGTTGTCATTGTATGCTTCCGGTCGTACGACTGGTATCGTTTTGGATTCTGGTGATGGTGTCACTCACACCGTACCAATCTACGAAGGTTATGCATTGCCACATGCCATCCTCCGTTTGGATTTGGCCGGTCGCGATCTTACCGAATTTCTCATGAAAATCCTCACCGAACGTGGCTACTCATTCACCACCACGGCTGAACGTGAAATCGTTCGGGATGTCAAGGAGAAATTGTGCTACGTTGCATTGGAATACGAACAAGAAGTTGCAACAGCAGCCGCTTCATCGTCATCGGACAAGTCATATGAATTGCCAGATGGTCAAGTGATTACCATTGGTAACGAACGATTCCGGGGACCGGAAGCTCTCTTCCAACCAGCCTTCCTCGGTATGGAATCGTGTGGCATTCATGAGACTGTCTACAATTCAATCATGAAGTGTGACGTTGATATTCGTAAGGATTTGTATGCCAACACTGTACTTTCGGGCGGTTCAACTATGTTCCCAGGTAAGTTTCCCTATTCAATTTTGATGTTGTATTGAAAAGTTGGAAATTAGTTCAGAAAAGCAGTACAAAAAGACTAGAATGGATTTTGAAGAAGAAAAAAACGAATGGTAGATAAATACATCCACTCACCAATGGTTTCATTCTTCTTCAGGTATTGCTGATCGTATGCAAAAGGAAATCACTGCTTTGGCTCCGTCAACAATTAAAATCAAGATCATTGCTCCACCTGAGCGTAAATATTCGGTTTGGATCGGAGGTTCAATTTTGTCATCATTGTCTACCTTCCAAACAATGTGGATCTCGAAGCAAGAGTATGACGAAAGCGGCCCATCAATTGTTCACCGAAAATGCTTCTAATTTAAACACTTGTCTTTCTCTCTCTCTTTCTCTTTTTTATATTTGTTGAGTATTAAAAGCAAGAATTTGAAAATCAATCCACAACGACTATTGACTTTTTATTTCACTCCTGTCTGTTGTGACTTTCGATGACTTCACACTTTTTGATGGAAAATAATTGTTTGTTGAGTTCATTTTATTTTGAAAGTTATCTCAAACCTTGACCTCATCAATCACAGTGGTTTCTGTGATTGCTTCCATTCAGATCAAAGCAACTTTGTTGAAAGTCGTTAAAAGTTAAACAGTTTGACTGCAAAACCAATTCAACATTTCAACAATTTAAGCAGAACAACGAAAAAAATCCTGAAGGGTCAGAGAATACAATGTGAATGCAATCAACTAATTTCGTCGGTTCATGGATGGACGCGTGATGAGCGATTGGAAAATCAATACTTCAGAATGTGAACAATTTCATTTAGTCCTTGTTATCAATCGGAATACGAAGCGCGTTCGCTTTTTTCAGTAGATGGTTTCTTGTGATGCTTGAATCAGCGCCAAACTTCTTGATTTACTTTTTATTTCAGTCTTTTAGCACATTTTTTTCCTCTTTTTTTGCCACCATTATACGGACGGAGATAACAACAAGTGGCAGAGCAAAAAAGCGGTGCAAAATACCCAAGAAGTAAACAACTTTGCTCGCCACTGATTCATTCTCGCTGGTTAGCACTGCGTTATTCAAGAAATAGTTTTTCCTAGCTTGTCATTATGAAAATACAAAGCATTCGGAATGGAATGTTGGGCAAAAAAAGTTTGAAAAGAAAATGGATTTTGTTTCAAAGACAAAAAAATGAGGGAGCAATGCAACAAAATGACAATGTTTTTGTAGCTTTGGCAATCATTTGGAAAAGTTTTATTTTTTATGATTATTTCCAACTCGCAAATGCTAACACTTCGAATGAACTGGGATGACAATGCAAATGTGCCAATGCCAATTCAACAGTTGCCGCAACGAACAAAAGAAACGGATAAAAAAACACATTTTCGATTTTTTGTGCGCAAAACTTTCGGAGTTGGATTTTCGCAATTTATTAATAATTGGTGCTTTCTATGAATTGCGGTGGGAAATAAACAGTTACAATCAACGAGAAATAGTGTACAATAGAACATTGATTTTCAACGGTATCATTGTAATATTTATTCAATATTGACAATATTAGTCATAGAACAATGCAACAAATATTACAATGATACCGTTGAAAATCGATGTTCTATCCACCACAACACCACCATATCATTCACACCCTTGACATTTATTGGCAGAACAGTCAACTAATTTATTGAACTGAGTTGGGGATTTTAATGTGTTTAAAATGGTGGTAAATATTGAAGCTGATATGGGAAATGAGATTCGGTAGAAAATTGCACAGTAAACAATACACACACTCACATGCATTGTATACGGTATGCTATAAAATCTGCTCATAAAACCGTTCGTCCACATCCATAGGAAAATTATCAACAACTCAAACAGATTATATGCAACTGGCATTTGTTTACTTTCGATTTAAAATTCACTATTGATTTACGTGTCATTATGAGAGCTGGTTGAACTAGCCTGGTTCAAATGCGTATTTTCAAGAGAAAAACAAATTCAAACTGGGAAATGTTTTCATTTCAAAATGTATTCATTTTGCATTGGATATGTGATTACCTACCAAACACATTTTGTGTGACATTGAGCAAAAAAATCGATAACGGCTTTGCATATTTTGCATCCGTGAATAAGTGAGGAGTTTAAATGTTTGCTTCCAGTGATTTTTAAGCCATTTTAATTCGCGATTTGTTCACTTCCGCTCATTATGTGTGTGTGTGTGCTCAGTTGCAACGAACAACGGACATTGAATTTTAAATTAAATTTCTGCTGACGGCAAAAAAAAGAAGTTAAGCAAACATTTCGCATTGTTTATATTTCTCTTATCAGATGTGGCCCATGGAAAGCGTCCATGGTGCCGGCCAATCGTGTTTTTTTGTCTGCAGTATTTCAGGTCGACCTTTTCAACGGTCCATTCAATGCACATGTATTATATTACGTGTTGCAATTATGGACAATTATAGAAATTCTATGAAACGAGTATTATGTTCAGTGACCGAAATTTAATATGTATTGAAATCATTTATTATTTATAATTGATTAAAATTAGTAACTACAACGATATATGTGATAAAATTTATCGAAGGCTATCAATGTAAAAATGTGATTCAAAACTAGGCTATTTATAGAGGGAAATATCGTTTTTCACATTGAGGCATCACAATATATTTACATAGATGATGATTTTATACAGAAGAAATTTGTTTTTAAAGAAGAAGAAAAAATTTCTATTTTTCCATTGTTAATTTTCTCTACTGAAAATCGATCCTTCTGTGTCAGTAAAAAACAACGTATGTGAATGAATTTTCATGGCAGTTCTTTCTTTTCTACACGGTAAAATGTTCCATTTTTAAATATTCACATCAAAATATCATATTTTCATCAAATCAATGAAAAATGAGCTATGGTTATTGAATCATCCGAAAGTTGAAACATTTTCAGTTATTTGCAACAAATGAAGCAGTTTCAATTCAAAAATTCCATTCACCAATTCCGCACGCCATCTGTATGATTCAAGTGAAATGACATGGCTCAGGCTCAGCTGTCATCGTCAAAACAACTGTCAACAGCGAATTGTTTTGTATGTGTTTTTTTTTCTTTTCTCTCTGTTTGAGGAGAAGAAAACGAGCGAATGTAGTGTGTAGCGTTAATTTGGTGTTGATTTTCATTTATTTTGATTTTGATAAGAGTATAAACCGTGCCAGGGGAATAATGAACAAAATTCAAGCTATTTAATAATAACGCCTATGGTGTTTGCCGAGAATTAACTGGATAAAATCACCTACATGGACTAATTAAATGTGTTTTAAGGGTATTTTTGAGTGGAAAATTCCAATCTGTGAGCGACGAAAAAAAAACAATCACCAACACAAAATCAATCAGTCGATTCAGTTATCGAATAATAACAGAAAATATCAACAAAGCATTTGTTCACTCGGTGTGTTTCATTCGGTTTGCAAAACAATCGTTCAATTGTCTGTGAGAGATGTGATAGAGAAAAAAAGGCAAATAATACGCACAGAAAATTTATTCGGATCTGAGTGACACGAGCACGCAAAATCGAAAGAGAAGGGAGCGAAAAGCAGGCAATTTTATCAAATGATGTGCAAAAAAGGCAAAACAGCTGCTACGCGTGATATTCCATCATGAAATTCGTGCTAATTAATGTGAATAGAATAGTTGTTAGCATTACGTGCAGTGGTCAGCCAGCGGCAGTGTGAGTGTGTCGTGTGCGATTTTATGCAATAAATGCTTACGACGGACGGGACGGTTTTTGTTTTTGTCTGTTTCGAAAGTGAACCCAACATAGTAACACACGATAAAAAGGAACGAAATATGTCAAAAACTAATAAAATTGCATTTTTACAGCAATAGAAATTGCTGCGCGAATTGATTTCTGCCTGGTCTCAAAACGGTTTAATAAAAAAAAAAAATCTTTCGGCTGTGCTTATTAAGCGAAAAATTGCATTACACATGGCAATGGTTGGAAGTGTTGTGTGCGAAGAAAAAGGATTCGACGGCAATAATTTGATAATTTCATTGCTCAGCAGTTGATAATTTTATTGTTTGTTGCGCTTGGCTCCGCGAAACTCATCACAGCCAAAAAAAATCGCGATAATGGAGTATAAATATTGGAGCTGGCTTTGCGTTTGCTTGTGCATTTTACTTAACATTTTCGGATTTTATTGGCTCTTCGTATTATTTATCTCAATGCTATGCTTTGCTCTCGGGTAAGTTCCAACTGTCGATTTTGGTTTTTGTTTAAGTAAACGAAACCACAAATAGAAAGAAAGAAAATTACATTGAGATTGTTTACGCAAACGATAAAATGATTTTGAATGGAATTTTGGTTTATAATTGGCTGTACTACTTCATGGTCAATAGAATTCGATTCGTTTTTATGATGATTTCTTAATGTCGATGAATTTTCCTCCCCATAAAATGCCATAGAACTGTGACGATTGTGTATTTACATCATACGGGCGAGAAACACATTCTAGAACATCGGAAATCACAAAATCTAGCATTCGATCAAGATGACCCGTTGCATGCGCTCAAGGCCCTTGGACTGAATCTAGGTAAAATCGATCACGTCTCAGTGATCAAACAACATGTTTTTAACGCCCGCATTTCAACTGCACTCATCACATTTACTGAAAAAACAGCAACAACCATCACATTATTTAAACAAACGTGCAAATGCTTACATTATTTTTTTTACGTAATAAATATGCTACTCAGTAAGTAGTAGTACTTACTCATGCACATGCTTAACATACTATGTGCCGCTTATTCGTTGCATGATAACATTCATAAAATTCATTCAGATTTTATTTTGTTTTTATCGTTCGCTCTTATTATCGCTTAATTACGCTGTTAATTTATCTGCACATGTTTTCTCCCTCGCACATTGCACCGTTCGTGACTCTTTATCGTATTTAAGTCGAAAGTTCAGTTGTTGTTGCCGTTGATTTTGGCTTCATTTTATCATTTCGGAACTTCCGTTGTAAATAAACGAACGTTTTTTTTTTATATTTATGATCTTATTTTGATGCCGCCTCACACACACAAACACTCTTCTAATTGCATGGCGTGATACCACCACTTTCGTTCTTTTCCTTAATTTGGTAATTGTTTAATCTTTTTCTTTTCCTTTTACTTAATTTTAAATTTATTTTTCTAATCTTGAATTTTATCGAGCTGGTGTTTGGTTTTGAACGGATGTTGGATGAAGCTAATGTGTTTTGACTTTTGCTATTTCAGATCATGATGTTAAACCGATCATTTTGCTATCTCCTGATGTACGCATTCAAACCGAGTCGAAAAAGCATAAAAACTCTCCGTTGCAATCGGATTCACGTAAAAAGAGCTTAATCGACTCAGGCATTGAACTATTGTTCAAAAAAAGTGCTAAAACTGTTAAAGATGGTGGTGTCATTGCGAATACATCACAAAAAACGATTTTACATCCATTATCAAGTGATTATAAATCTTCTGCAGAGACAACAACCGTTCCAGCTAATTATGTTGATAGGGAGGGATCGAGTCAACATGGTGCCAATGCCACAGACGAACATTATAAATGGAAACTTTTCGATTCGATTAAAATTCATACGGATAAACGACGTTCGGTTGATCCAACAGGTGACAATTTTTTCTTTCTGTTTAGCAGAAACATTCTGTTCATTCTGGCTGTTTTTGGTTCTGTTTTTTCGGTTTGTCGATAAAATCCAATTTGAATTTCAAATTAATTCGAAAAATGTTTTGTCTAATTTGCAGTTGACGTTCACGTAGGTGAAGAATGTGGTGCACCGCAAGTGATCGAAACGACTCCAATTTACAAATTGCACAATGATTCAGCGGTGCTAGATCAGCATGGTTCGCCAAAGAAGAAATTTCGTTCGATGCTCAGCGGCAATAAGCAAATCGATCAATTGCTTCACACCATTATAAATTACATACTGCGGGATTTCATCGATTCGTGGTTCTTCTCACTGAGTGACAACAAAGAGTTCAGCGAATTTCGAACACGAAACTGTATCGAAGAAAGTGTACAGAATGTTTGTACTCGGGTGAAAGGTGTTCAATGGATTCCATTGATTACAACCAAATTAGTCGATATTGTTGCAATGCACGCAAGACTCTATCGAAAAGCCAATACCACACTCAATTTGCAGCTAGATGAAACGAAATCGACATCATCTTCCGGCAGCAATCAAAGTTCATTCCAAACAAATAATTCATCACCACAGCGTCGACCCAGCAATGCCAAAAAAATGAACCGACATCGACGCAACAAAAGCGAAACTGATCTCAATTTAGGCAATCAACGCACGTTTGGCAATTCCAAATTCTACGATTCAGTGGATCAAGGGCGAAAAAAATCCAATAATGACAAATCACCAGTGGGTGATGCTGGCCAAGCCAAACTCATTACGGCTTTTTTTAATCAATGCGAACTATACAGGGAGGAATGTTTGGATGATGAAGCTCTGGAAGGTAGAGTCTTTTTTTCAGTGGATTTTTTTTTTTGAAGAGAATTTCATGGCCATGAACCATTTGGCTACTTGACGTTGAACCATTTCAATTCCTAATTTCCAGATTATTTGACGCGTTGCATGGAAACAGTGCTATATTTCACAATACCGGAAGAAGATTTTGCTTGTATTCCATTACGAATGTTCCTAAGTACGCTGTTGGCCAATGTTGTGTGCAAACCAGTCATTGACATGCTTTCAGAGCCCGATTTTATAAATTTACAAGTTGCCAAATCGGTAAGACAAACGTTGCGATAATTTCGTACGATTAAAAATGATACGATTTAGATATTGAATTGATGACATGTTTTATTCGATTCCTTTCAGTTGACAAAAGAACCACCGAGCAGTGAGATTTTCTTACGACTATTGCGCCAATGTGATGATGCAAGTGAATTAAGGGCCGTTCGTCAACTCATTACAAAAGAAATGGATGCGGTCAGTAGAAGTCTCTTTGAATGCTTTGAGTTTCACTCTTTGAGTGGAAGGAAAATTTCTCGCATAGGAAATTTTTCGAATTATTATTTTGATCTCAAATTCAATTTTTTTCTAATCCAAAATCGGTCCTCACTGTAGAAATACAAGGATCCAAATGCATCGGCCGAAATGAGCAGCTTAAAATATGCGCAGAAAATGATTGATTTGCGCTTGAGTTACATGCAAAACAATAGACGTGAAACGGATCGTGATTGCAATACAATGGCCAATTTACCAATAATCCCACTAGATGAGCTGTTGAACAAAGAACTGACGCTTTCATATTATTTGGACTATTTGAGTGTGTTGAACCTGCAGCGTTATGTGATATTTTATCTATCGGCAAAAGGTACCGGTTTTTGTTGTGTGTGTTTATGTCTTAAATTCAGAATTTAAATTCGGTTGATGAATGTTCACAGAATGGAAGGCAACAGTTGTCCGATATACGGTCGAGCTCCAGTCGAATAAATTGAAAGGAACACGCGATGATGTGATCAAATTGCTTCGCAACAAGGCCAGTAATATTCATAAGGAGGTAAAATTCAGCCATTCGAATTGAATACACACAGAGACACTTGAATTCATTAAAAACGATCATTTTCTCTATTGTACAGTACTTGGAGCAATCGTCGGCAAATGCGTTAAATATTGATTCTGGTCTCATTGAAACACTCAACATTCGCTTGAATGATGTGTCAATCAATCCGGATCCATTGTGGTTTGAATCGATCTGTAAATATGTCTATGAGAAAATTAAAAATGAGGATGTTTTCTTGTCGAATTTCTACATTTCTACACAATATCGAAAGTTGCTTTTGGAGTTGGAATTTTTAAGTAACTTTAATGTAGACGGTGAAATTGATTCGAACACCGCTACACAGTTGTTGATGAACGCACGGGATGAGTCGTCTGTGTCGGTTGTAAATTCCACTATGTTGAACCAGTGTGAAACGGGAAGCGATAGCAATTCCGGTGATTTGATGTTTGATGATGAGATCGACTTTATTGCGTTAGATGGAAATGGCAGCGATTTTTTGACAGTGAACACCGGACAAAAGGTGTCGCCAATACATCAAGTGACAAAAGCCAGTGAAGCCACGGAGAAAACTGGGGAAATGGCAAAAACTCCCGAATCAAATTTACTTGATATCATCGGAGCCGGCGTTAGTAAACATTATCGCTCGCACAGTGACTGCACCGGTCTTATCCAGAACATCGATGATATTCGAATCGAACCGCTGACCAAAGCATCCGGTTCGTCTCCAACCAATTCCAACGAATGGAACAAGAACAAAAGTGACAATGAAGAATCTCCCAAGCATGTCGTTGCCAAAGGTGACATCCATAATGAAAAAGTGACATTGATCTGTCCACAGCATCGACTCTCAGCCAAAATCCTTAATACGGCCATTAATTGTGAAGGACAATTTGCCGTTTATGCCATACAGGTGACGGTCATCGAAGATGATCAACAGAAAAGTTGGCATGTCTATCGACGGTACTCACGATTTTTGGATTTGAAAAAAGTGCTGGTGAAACGGGTGAGCATTTTCTCTTTTTTTTTTCATCAGAATTTAAATTATCGAAAAAATGTTTTAAAATGCTGAAAATGCATACCTAACCAAAAATGTCCAAATTCCAGTTTCCATCGATATCACAAATCCCATTCCCAGCGAAGAAGACATTCCAAAATACGCAGCGTTCGGTGCTGGAACATCGTATGACGTTGCTTAACGAGTTTCTGAAGACGATCAGTATGCGGGCCGATGATAACGATGAACTAAATACGATTTTACGCGATTTCCTTGAGCCAGACACAAACGATAAAAAGATCCATGGTGGCGCTGTCATTCGAACGGTAATTTAAATAGTGTATATACATTTTTATTCTCTTGATAAAATTCCCGAGAACAGTTCATTTGGCCATTGTGTGTGCATTTGTGCCGATAACGTTGTCCAAAGATTGGTTCGCTTTATCACTTGAGCCATTTTCGTCTGTTTCTAATTTGTAAGAAGAAAACCAAACGATTCGTTTTCATTTGAATATTTGCTTGGGTTAGTTTTATCATTTAAGTGCCGCGTTTACGATACACGCAATGCAAATGAAGAAAACCGAACAAACTTTGTCTATTAATTAGTATGCAAATTTATTGGTAATTCAACAACAGTTATCATATACGCTAGATCTGTATGTCGCATGATGTTTTTTTAGCTGCGTGATCGTGGCTAATCAAAAATTCATTTTTCTCTCTCTCTGCCTCTCTCATTCGTTTCTAAGAATCGAATGCCAAAAAGAATAGTAAAACAAAATAAAAAGCAAAAGCAAAACGAAAAGAAGAAGAAAACGAAACGAGAAAAGTGAGCGAGGTAGAGAGGAACACACAACACCAAATGATGAAGGTTTAAAATTCATACAAACATTCTATTATTATTTACGATGGATTTTTATTATCGGCCCGCCGTTTTCATTCGGAATAAAGAATGGCAAATAAGCAATATTTTGTGATTGATTAAAATGTGATATGAGTCACAGAAAATTGCACGAAACAGAATATATATGTACCGGTGCAAAAGATCGTTTATCGGTCGATTTGATGAAATAAAATGAACATTCTTCGCATAAATCATGTAAATGTGGTCGTTTTGGCCATTTGTTTCCAAATCAAATTAACTAATTCTTTTTTTTTCTATTTCAATTTTCCAGATTGAAACGATTGTAAATCCATTTAAATCGGGAATGCGTACCATTAAAAATATGCCGGACACACTGGTTGGAGGTAATTGATTGACCTCTGAAAACATTTAGTTTACAGGTTTTTCTTTCTCCATCGCGGCTTCTATTTTCAATCGTACTATTTTTATACCATTCGATTTGGATAGGCATGGCACGTATACTGTTGGGTAAAGGACCCACCAAAGAGACAGCTTTCTTAGATGTTACACCAATCCATCTGGAGGTTTGCCACTGAGCTACTTTATTTATGTGCATATATTTAATTTCCACTTAAATTTGGGTCAAATTTCTTGGAATTTTCTAGCATTCATCGGAATACCCGGCGTTGACATCAGCTTTAAATTTACTCGACGAAGTGTTTGATTTACAAGCACGATCGCAATGGCTTCGTCGTGGCTTAATTAATCGACTTTTGGGTTAGTTTCCTAGTATTTTTGTAGAACTTTTTTTTGCATTCATTCGTGACGGTTAGATCTGTTAGTGTTATACGATCGGGCATTTGCATTTAAATAAAATATGATTTAATTGACAGGTGCTCCATGGGTTAGTCAAGCGGCAAACAAACGAATCACACAAGCAACTAAAGCGGCCATTGAATTGGAGAAAATCGAGAATGTGCTGAGCATCATATTGTAAGCGATTTTGCGTTCTTTTTCGCATTCGTGCTTTCGGTTCATTATTCGATCAGTTTGCTTATTATGACTTTTTTTCTTGTTTTTGTTGTTGTTGTTGCTGTTGCAGAAACACGATTTGGCCGGATGGCAAGCGATCAAATCAGACGGTTTCACGCGACGAAAACACCAAATTGAGGACACGAATGGCCGCGAAAGTGGCACTCTTCACTCTATTAGCAGGTAATGAGCATGTTGATAAAACTGATCAAAACACTATTGCCACGATTTTTGTTTGTCTCATTTTCTAATGTGCCATTTTTTTTCTTCTCATTTTTGTTTTGATGTGCCTCCTCCTTCCATCATTTACCGATCAATTTCGACGAATGTTGGAAAAATGAAGATGATTTAAAACACGTCGTCGGATCAGAGACAACGAGATATGGTTTGTTAAACTCTTTCTCCATGTGGCAGCATAAAACTCTTAATAAACGGCTGGTGCTCGTGCTGTTTAATGAACTTTTAACAACGCTTTATCAAACCGACGATTTAACCAAACATGTGAAATAAAGCAACCGATACGATTCCTGGATGTATTGAAATCAGCGTCGTGGAAACAAATGAGAGGATAATTTACAACCAATTTGACAAACTGAACGCTCTGAGATTATCTCTTTGAAATAGTACAATTACATATGAGATGCGCATACAATGTTACCATTTAAACCAATTTCTGTTGTTTCTCTGTGAAAAGGGTAATAATTTTTGTCACTACAGTTTTTTCTCTCTCCCTCTCTCTCTCCTGGGTCTAGTTAATTTGATTTGGTTTAATGACGATAATGTGCTCTGGTTCTGATTTCATTTTCTGGTACAAAAATTAATAGCAACTTAAGAGAACACTGAACTGTGAATGTCATGGAAAAATTGCCGCTATTTTTTTGTTGTTCTATTTTTAAATAAATTCTTTTTGAATGGACGAAAATTCCAAATTACAACGAGAATACGAGAAAAGCATCGATCGTTTCGTGTGGAATGAAGTAAATTGTTAAATTGTCTATAATTTGAGTTCCATTTTTTGTTTGAAATTATCACTGAACTACCTGATCGATTTGTATAATGTAGATAAAGCACCCTGAAATTTGGTTCAACTCAATAATGACTCATCGACAAACAAATAGCAAATTAATATTAATAATAACGATGAATTCAATGTGACCAAATGTGTTGTATCAGAAGGATATATCATTTTTTATTTATTACCACATCCCAACAATTTATTATAAACAAGAAGATTATATGGTGTGTAAATATCAATGTATTTTACGTTTATTTTCTACATGGAAAATGGTGTTTCTGAGTTTACTATTTCAAATTAGGTTTTAGATGAAGTTTTAGTTCCAATTTCTTTTTATTGTGGCTGATTTTCACTTTAAACTGAAGAAAAAATATCCATTTGTTTGAAGATCTGAAAATCATGCAATCATTTTGTTAACTGAAAATTACCATTGTTATTTGTGATCTTGTTCTTAATGTGAGCTAAGACGGGACATCGATCCTGTTGCATACATTTTATGAATGAACAAAGTTTATTTTTTAAAATAATTTTTCGAGGCTAATTATCTATTACTGCAAATCCTATTTTTATTTTTGTTCACAATTGTGTTGACCATTCTTGTTTGTTTTTTGCCGAATAAATTCATTGCCATAGCTGTAACTTCACTTGAATAAGCAACAATTTTATAAATGTTCAATAACATATAGGAAGGATGATGGGTTTGAATTCTCATTCATGTTGTTGTGCAATAAAAAAATGAAATTTCATACAAAATGAAGATATCGACTTTTTCTGCGCTTTTTCTTGAAATGACTTCTTTTCCTCTTGCATTGAATTTTTTTTCGTCTTGAATTTTGATAACATTTCGAATACGGAACCCATTTTGATGTACTGTGAAGCTGAAAAAGTTGCCAGGCCTGCTTTGCTGCGTTATTATCGTTTGATTTTTTAACACTTTTCTCTTGAAAATTTTCGCAAATTGATTTCTACTTTAGAAAGCGATTTTTGGTTTCAATGATGCCAAATGATGGTTGTCCAGTGTCGACACAGTAGACTCCACATGTCACAACTACAGTTACACGACTCTTTTAATCAATGATTTATTAGGATTTCTTTATTATATGATATATGTATTTATATAAATGATACTGTATCTCAAAAAATAGTGTCACTTCATAATGCATATGGTATTGAATTGGCGCACCTAACTCGAAAATCCAGTTTGCTTTTTGAGATTATCATAAGTAGTTGGTTATATGCATTCGAAAAGCCAGTAAAAAGAAGATTGATCGAAATCTAGCGCTGGATTTATGTGCCGTTTAAATGCCGATAGATATCAACTAATGAAAATGAGCGACGTATGAAGAACGATAAGAGCCTCTTAAAAGTGTTGTTGAGCAACAAAAAAAAATTTGTCTGAAACATATATTTCATCAGTGAATTTTAACGAATTCTTTGGTTTCAATTCCAAGAAATCATGGACCTAGTCTTATCTCAAGCAATGTTAATGGAAGAGAGAGAATATTCATTAATAGAGATGAATATTCAAATCTTGGCACTGGTTTTGCGAATACCATCATTATAGTTGAAAATGAAGCGTTGACAATTTTTGGTCCACCCATAATATAGGTGGAGATACGACGCAAAACACAAAAGAAAGCCACACAAATTTCTAATTTACTATTCATTTATCGTTCGTCTTTCTTGCTGATTGCTTTTTGTTTCTGTTTGTTTGTTTTTTTTTCAACAGAAAAAAAGACAACTGGACTTCGTTTATTTGTTTTTATCATACCATCTTACCGTGTCTACGGTGAACGTGAGTGAAATAGTTCAACGACGCGCAACTTTAATTTAAATGTGACAAATAAATTTGAATTTTGTGTTTGGTGCGAGCAAGCGAGAGCGTTCGAATCGCATGTGGGTCTCCATCGTAAAATGTGTGAATGTTGTGATAGCGTATGGTGCGCCAGCATGCATACGAACTTTGTTGATCATGTGCCCACATTTTGAGTTGTGCGTGCTTGTCTCACTTACCTATATCCATGGTGAGGCGCGCTACGATCCAACGTATCCACACAGTTTAAGTAACAAGCAAAGTATTTTTTCTGACAGTGTCAGTATTTCAGGTGCAGACCAGCGAATGTAGAAATGATTTTTTGCCATTTAGTTATCGCGGAAAGAGAGAGGGAGAGAGAGAGAGAGAACAAGAGACTCTCTCACAACCGTTCACAATTCGCAAATTGGCGCATGAATGACATCATCACTTTATTTATACAAATGGTCGACTTATAGCAATACACGATCGGTTTCAGAGGCGGTTCGTCGCTCTCTTGCTTGGCTTTGTTTTTAGCTTAAGAGATCTCTTCTTCAAAACAGTTCGAACACAAAAAAGAAATTTACACAAATTACTGTTTTCTAAAAAAAAAAGATAAGGTAGCGGTCGTCCACACATCAGTTTGTTATCGGTTTCGTGTGACCAGCAGCTGAGAAGTAAATCATTTCCATGTTTGAATTATGGTCGACAGTTCCACGAATTAAAGGCTGTATTCAACTCTATGTTTGTTTTCATTTTGCGACCATATGCGGTGTATGTGTATTAGTCTCAGAACTCTTTCTAAGTATAGCTGTGAATCTTCTTTCAGAAATGATCGGCAAATTTGCGATTGAACTCTCAAGCGATCGTCAAATTTAGACACATGTGCCGTCGAATCTATTCGTATGAATGGTTTTCGCTGACGAATCTTTCGGAAGAGCGTGTGTACTTACATTTGCATGCTAAGCTGTCAAGCGAATAATTAGGTTCAATCACTTTTACGCGAATGAACATTTCGGTGAAAACACACATTCGTTTTGCGTCAATAAAACCAGCGGATTCAAACCACTATATCATTCAATCGAGATTGTCGCTGCATTGTCAATTGGTGACAAAAAAAATTAATTAATTTGGTTAGTTCATTCCATTTTTACACCAAAATCATTGGCCAAAATTGAATCATTTTCTCACACGTTCCAAATTTTGAACGGGGAATACTAACGGCGTCTCGACTTTCTATGTGATGATAATGTTGTTGTGTGTTTTTTTGCTTCAAGGAAATTAATAAAGTCAATTTATCTCTCAATCAACGGCCTCGTTTATTCTCCTCACCATTTTTCGATCGAATCGATTGTGAGAATGTGACTTTTGTCGCGGCGTCTGATTCTCTGTGTTTCTTTTCATTTGTCTAACATTCAGATTAACCAATCGAATTAAAAGCGGTGAATATGCATAATATTGCGACTGGCAGAGTGAAGATGAATGGTAAACGAACATAATCGGTGTGTGAAACATTAAAATATGAATCGAAATCAACACTCCATCGAATTTTCCAGCCATGCTTTTATCTCCGTTTTTAATTGCTTGTTTTGTTGAACTAGCTCAACAAAAAACAACAACGTCGACTGAGAAAGAAGAACAAAAAACGCTTTCGCATCTTATTATGCAAAGCATTTTCTCTTTGTTTATCGATCAAATACATCTAATACGTTGACCGTTAATCATCGATTCGAGATCGATATTATTCGGCATCCAACAGAGTGGGAGTGAAAATTACAAATTCATTTGCATTGACAGTGTTTTCCATGTTTGAAGCCAACATACTTTGACGTCTTTTACCTATAACAAACCAATTTGTTTTTATGTTCGGCTAACCAGCTGAAAAATCGCTGAAAAATCGAAAAACAGATGAGAATCGCCAAAAATGACTGAGACACAAAAAAAAACGCAGCTCAGCTAATATTTATGCAATAAATTTCCTTTATTTACGATAATAAATTGTTTTGTATTCTTTCTTCAATTATTCAATAATAAAGATTTTTTGTTTTTCTCTGTATGTGTATGTGTGTAATTTTTTGTTTTCCTCTTACACTCTCTTAAAACGTAATCACTATACTTTAGGCTATAAACTAATTTAGTAAATATTATTGTTGTTGCTGTTGTTGTTTGTTGCTGTTTCGTCTCTTGAAATATTGTTTATGCAGTTAAAGTTTTCTTACAAATTCATTATCAATTTACAAATTGATTTTACACATATTCCCTAGTCGACAATACATAGACTATATTGAATGGATCATGAAGTTGATTTCACCGCCCAGATCTCGATGAACTTGTGACATTGTGTATAATATGAAATAAAATAAGTATTGAAAATGTTGGTGGCTTTTCCCTTGTGTTTTTGAAAACTTTGCTTATTATTTTTCTTTGTGCCAACGCAACAAAAAACAACAACGAAAGAAATTTAAAAAAAAAAATCTGTCAATAAATTTCACAAGATCCGCTCTAGTCAAAATTAGAACTATTTACTTTTATTATTCGCTATTTATTTTACTCCTTTTATTCAGTTTTTGACATTATTTCAACTTAATTCAACGCATTTATGTTTCTCTTGCAAAAAAATGAAATATTTTTTCATATTTTCTTCTCATCTAAAGATTAAATGTGTGTTTTTCATCTCCATTTTTGTTTGCTCTATTTGAATTTCATAATTTTAATTAAAACTTATCAATGAATATTTGTTTGCCTTCAAATTACACGCAATGTTTGTAAATTAAGTAATTAAATGAATGTTTCACATGTTTGTCTTGTTTTATTTTCTTTACAATGTTTTTTGCATGAAAATTTCTTTTCATTCATTCGTTCGATCGGTCGGGAGCACGTTTCTATCATTGATAAATATATAAACTTTTTTCCGCTCCCGATTCGTTCGTTCATTTTTTTTTGCTGCCACCGAGACGTGCATTTCATAAACTTTACACTGCTTCGAGTCACAAAGAGTTGGTTTTTTTTTTCTCTCCATTTTTTCCATAGAAAAAGTGTTTCATTTAACTCGTTTTGAAATTCGAAACTGGCATTTTATTTCTTTTCAGCCATGTGCTGTTGTTCTTCTCCCTTCTTCGCTGTTACTTGTTTCAAATCTAAAGTGAAAATTGCTGATTTTCAAATGTGTTGCACTTCAAAGTCCATTCTAAGAATGAATTGCGGTCGCAAATCGACTGACTCCCTTCCTCATTTTCCCATTTCGGGTCAATCGTTCGATTTTAGTTTTGCTTGCAAAATAAATTCTAGGTGTCTATGTTCTACATGTCATACACTCGTTTAACTGGTTATGGTACAAATTGTATCTTGTTTCTTTGGCAAAAAAAAAACACAACAAGGACATTTCGTACCGGATTTTTGTTTGATGTTTTATATCGAAATCAATTCAATTGATGCGCATTAGATGGGAAATCGATTTGGTCCTGTTGTACAATTTTTGCTTTCAAGAGTACCATACGTCACATTTGTCTGTTTATCTCTTACGACTATTACAATTTCGTATTTGATTTCATTTTACTGAGTTCTAAATACAAATTTACATATTTTCCACGATTTCAATTCGTGTGTTTGTGGGTGTATTTGTGTGTGGGTGTGTGAGATCTCAACCTGTATCATACATATTACATATATATTATGTTATACGGTAATCAAATGTGGTTAATCGCATAAATTTTATGTACCACACAAAGTAGAAAAAAAATGCATTTTTATGTCTCTCATGTTAAATTAAGCAAGCGTTTTTTGGCTTGCAATGGCATTTTTCATTGCAGTTTTTCTTTGAAATAGCTAGTGTATTTGCTTGGTGTGAGGGAGGTTGGACAGCCGTGTAACGTAAATGCTTCACATTTTATTGTCCCTTGTCTTTGACACCAGCACCAACACCGATGCCGAGCAAATGTTCACCTGGGATCATGCCGCCGGGAGCGCCTGGTTGGTGTGCATAGTTACGAATGTTGTGCAACGATATCAAGTTGTTTGGGAATGAATTATTGACATTTTGCTGCAGATTTTTATTCGGAAAATCGTATAGATACGGCCGTTGTGCCATCACCGGATGATGACCCAGTGAATTCAAGTGCATCGTATTGATCGGTGTGAATGCCGATGCTGAGGTGGTTTTTGTGATTGAAGCGGCATCATAGCTGGGTGCAACGGACGATGCGGCCGCCACAGCAGCAGCCACATTTTGTGCAACCAAATGCTGTGCTAAATTGGTGGCATTTTGACGTGAAATCACCAAATCTTCGCCATTGTCATCGTTATTCGCATTTGATGTGCCGTTGGCACTCGATCCGTTCAACCTGTGATGATCGTTGATTAAGGCTCGGTGCTGATTTTGCAAATGATCACTGTTATTCTGTTGAATGGTGAAATCGTATTGATTTTGCTGTTGTTGCTGCTGCTGCTGTTGTTGCATTGCTTCGGCCAGATTGGCGGCCGAATCGGGGCTCACTTTTGGCCAGTACGGATGTTCTGCATTGATCGGACCATTTGTTGAGATATTCAAATTACGGTTCATTGCGGCCAAATTTAAACCGGATGGAATTGACGGCCGCTTATCAGGGCGTTCAGCATGCTTTTGCATATGTTTCGATAGATAGGTCTCTTGCGTATACGATTTTCCACAATACTGACAGATGTGCGTTTTTAGGTGCTTCGATTCCTTGTGCTTTGGTATGTGTTCGAGAAGTGCGGTCTCGTCGGTGAAGCATTTGTAGCATGAATTACATTTGAATGGTTTGTCAGTCTGATGGCAACGCGAATGCGATTGTAAATTTGACAATTGTGAGAATGCCTTCTGACAGCCCGGATGACGGCACTTGTACGGTTTATCACCGGTATGGGTGCGAATGTGTTGCTGCAAATGTGACAATTGTGTGAATTTCCGTTGGCAAATCTCGCAACGATATGGCTTAATCCCTAAATGGATGCGGGTATGTTGTGACAAATAGCTGGAATTGGCAAACGCTTTCGAACACTGTGTACATTTGTATGGTTTGGCCTCGCGCATCTGAAGCTGTGAGTTCAAATTATGTTCGCCGCCACCGTTGCCACCGCCGCCGCTGTTGCCGCCATTGCCCTTTGAATTATTGAATAACTGTAAATTGAACGGAAAAAAAAGAGAGAGAGGGAGAAAATTTATAAAATGTTTTAATTGAATTCATTACTAATTAAAATTGATTCTGTGTATAATTTATTGGTTGTATTCGTTTTATTAGTTGACCAGGCTAAAAATAATATCATCGACCGTCCCACCGAGAGAGAAAGAAAAAAAAAACCATATTCGAATCAAATACCGCATACAATTTATTATTCAAAAACACATATTTAGCATTTTCGTCCCATTCCACGTCGCTGGAGCCGCCGTCGCACGAATCAAAAACACAAAATAAAATATGAAATTGTGGAGAGCAAGAAAAAAGCGAGCGAGAGCGAGAGACAGAGACAGAGAGAGAGAACGAATGGAATAAAAAAAACATGGCCAAAACAAGAACTACTCGTTACGAGTATCAATGATTTGCATTTGCTTAATCAAAATATTTGTTTCATTTGCATTTCATGTTTTTATGCGCGTTTCGCCAAAAATAAAATCATATTCCCATCGAATCGATACGAAACGCGATCCAAAATATTATTATTATACTCATTTTTTTCTCTCTTTTCGTTTATTTTTTTTTTTCAAATGTTGGTTTAACGTATTTATCAATGCTTCGTGGTTTATGTTACGCGAACAGTTTTTGTCTCACTCGCAAAGTTTTTGTGCTGCATCAAAAGTTTTATTGTCCATGTTGATGAGAGATTAAAAACACATAAATATTTGTGAACCCATAAAAAAAGGCAACCATTTTTTTCTGTTGTGTTCATGATCCGAATAAACGGCGAAAAGAGTGATAAATTCGCGGATTTTATCAAAGAAGCAGCTTGTCGCAGATTTCTGATTTCGGTTGTAAAACTGTACAAGTAATAATTGCCATAAGACAGATTAGCGGCATTTTCGTTCGAATGAAAAATGCTGTTGAGATGCTAGAGTCGCGTTGCCACAGTTGAAATGTGGTGCTTTCAGAATGGAACTATTATTTTCGATTGAGCCCATTTCCGCTAGATTGTGTATTAAAATCATCGATTCTTATCATAAAATTTTGATATCATATCGGTAACTTCGATCACGTTATCGTCACTGATGATAGTTACTTCTTTCCAATTTTATTTCATTTCTATACGCTATATTTCCGCGTCATAACTCACGTTCCATCTACTCAATCGTTCGTGTGCTTACACACGAGCAAAGAAATTCCAAATAAAAAACTCAATTGCATGTTCAGACCAAACAAAAATGTCTGATATTTGACTAAGAAATCACACTCTAATTGAATATTTGACCGTTTCCATTCAACGAATACACTCATGCAATCGTCATTTAAGTAATAACCGATCGAATATATGCACATAAAAAAGTGACGGAATAAAAAAAGAGGCAATAAAAAAGCGCGTGAGAACCGTGTACACACTGAAAAATTGAGAATAATAAGCAATAATTGGTTGAACAAACAGACTCGACAGTTCAAAAATGCTCATTTAAAAGAAAAATACAAGCGCATAAGAAGATGGAATTAAAAGCCACGCATATTCGATGGCTGTCTGAACGAACAAAACAAATCGGTTTGTCGTCGTATCTCGCGCTATCCCATTATTTGTGTTCGAGTCATACGGCAGCAAATGAATCATCGTGCGTTGTGTGCTCCGTTGTTCAAGTACGTAATGTTGAATAAAATCAATTTTTTCGGCCAAAAACGAAAAGTCCGAAACGAAAGGTAAACATTTCAAATGAAATATCTTAAAATCGTGTTCTCTGTGACTTCGATTTTGGCTACTGTACAAATAAAAAAGCCGCAACAAACATTCAACCAGATCGATTGTGGTTGTGTCGCGTAAATTAATTCAAATGGTTTGTTGTGTCACGTTAGCATATCGCTGATAAGGATGGAATCGATCGCTTGGCTGCGTGTCTCTTTTTCTATCTCTATCTCCCTCTTTCCCTTCTTCCCTCTTTCACATGCTCTCCCATGCGGGTGTGCCAGAATTTGTTGGTAATCGGATCTCGATGTGCATTCGCTTCGAAACAGCAAACGTTTCGCATTTTGAAAATCGAAAAACCCCTGACAAACACGAAGAAAGAGAGAGAGAAAAACACACAACGAAATACAGTTCAGTGAACTTCAAAGCGAATTATCGTCGATTTTCGCATATTTCTCTCTTTGTGTGTGTCGGACTCACTTACACCCAGAAGATCATTTCTAATTTTATACGTTTTTATCGTCAAATCAACTGCAAAATGAAGGAAATTTAATGAACGCGTTGAATTCCACGCAAAGTTTCTTGGTTCAAATCGATTTGCTGCTGAATTTTTACTCAGGCTGCAGACTAACGAACCGACGAAAAAAAAACCGCCGCCACATTTTATATATGCAAACTATTCGCTGTGGCGCGATGTCTCTAACTAACAGCACGCCGCTTGTGCGCTTCGCTGGAAAAAGCGAATCCAAGCCATCAGCAATGTAAATTGTACTTTGACGTTTTTAATGGCGTAATTAAAATGCAAGTGATGTAATTTGGTAAAGTCGATTCGTATACACGATACACATGCTGAAATTGCTGCTACGCCAATCGAATTGACACACATTCGAATGAATCAGAGGGAAAAAAACACACATGTTATACCACATGCAATTTGTATGGCAAACACCTGTGAATACTCGATAGATAAATCATGCGTTCGCCTTTTTCCACCGTCTCTCTCTCTCTCTCTCTCTCTCGCTCTCGTTCTATCTCTCTTGGTCTGCTTCTCAAACACATTTTTAACAGTCGAATTAATTTAGTACTAAAACCAGAAACCGTACACATTAAACGAACACTTTCGTGCTACGATTAGAGCAAAAAAAAGAAAGTTTGATGTGGCGATTGCCTCAATCCAAGAACTGTAATAAAATGATGTTGGCCAAATATTTTTTGACAGTCGACGAGATGTCAATCCAGCTCAAGAGTTCGTTCAATTCGAATTTACATTTAGAACATCATCATTTGATGGATGCATTTTATAGCTGTCAATGTTGTGCATTTGAAATGACATTCGATTTAGAGCGAACACAGGCGTAGCATCATAATTTTGTTTGGTGAATCGTAAAATCAACAGGCGTTAACAACAAACACAATAAATCTCCTCGAAAAAAGACAGTTTGGATAGAGGACAATGAATACGCGACAACGGGCGAAATTGGAAATTGTGAGTAGAATCAAATATTTTGTAAAGCGTTTGTTTGTTACTTTGCATTTTCAAAAAGTGAACAGTTTCCAATAAAAATCTCTGTAGGACAGTGTTAACCAATTAGCATAATGAGATATTTCGATTGTTTCTGATAGCAATACAAACGTTTGATCCCATCGAATGCGACGATTCATTCGTCGTTCGTGTGGGGAACACCGGCTGAACGTGAAAATCGAAAAGTGTTGAGCGTGGAAACGATCAAAATGCGCATGCAGGAGGCAATCGACAACAAGTTGCGTAAGCTGCCAATAAATGTGACCAATCCAGATGTCAAGCCGTTGTACGAAGCGTTCAAACGGGATGTCCTGAATAACGCATACAACAGCCAGTACACTTTAAGAGTAAACGATACGACCAAATGAATGCTTCGTCCGAAAATTCAAAGCTAATCACTTTTGGTTAATAATTCTCGCTTTCGATTTGGTTAACATGGCAAATAAAATGGTTTGAATTTGCGAACAAACGCAGTCGTTGTCTTTTTTTCTTCGCTCGTCAAATGTACACACGTCAAACAAGATATTGTCTGGTTTTTGTTGTGAATCGTCATGGTGACTAAGGAAACATTTTCGGTGCTGTTGCGAGAGTGAGAGAGAGAGAGAGAAACGGTTTATTAGCTGGCATTCATTGATAACCATACCGTTGGTAGGTATTGAATTGTAACAACTGCGACGTTGTTTCGCATTTCGATCGCGATTTGGGGTCTCAATCACTTTGACATGCTTCAGGTAATTGAGTAATAAATATATTGTGCTTCGTTTCACGAGACGCATTTGGGATCTGTTACATAAGTGTCATTTTGTGTGGTGTGTTTGTGTATGTGTGTGTGGCCGTCAAATCACCATTTATACCGTCATCGTCGTCGACGAAAGCAGACGAAATAAATTTCACAGTCCAATCGTATAAGTACACATTTTATGCATTATAAATCGCGAACACATAATTATTTTGCGGCGAAAAAAAGGAATCGCGGTCGGCGATGGCTTTCAATTTTTTGCATACATTGCTAAAAGTCTATCATTAGATGACGTATAGAAGAGAAGCGCATAGAAACAGCAGCCACTTGAAATAAAAAAAAAACTGGATCTTGACATTAACTGTACACAGTCAGATCTATTTCAACAGCATTAGATAGTTCATCTTTGAATTTAATCATCTCAATCTTCCACTTGCGAGCAATTAATCTATCAAAACAAAGATCACTGGGTGCGAAAAGGAAGTATAAATTTATTGCTGGTGTACCTCAATTACAATGCCATTTGCTCTGCTTGCTTGCTTGTGTGCGACGCACACTTTGCGTCGACCATAGATCGCTTGACGCAATAATTAGTCGAACCGAACATTTTTAAGTGTATTTAAAGTAATTTCCTATTTTAAAGTGAAGTTTAAAAAAAACTGAACCCATTTCGGAATAAATCGAAATAATTACAATTATGATGGGGAATTTGGTTTGTGTTCTGGGTATTTTGTGACGAGCAAAATGTGCGCTACTATTTGGAACCGTTTTAATGAATAAAGTCATTAAGGAATGAGTGCGCGAATGTGGTTGATTCGGGCTCCAAAAATTGAACGTAAAACTTGCTTCGCCGCGAGTGTAATTAGCATAATTCAAAAATGTGATCGCGATAACACAGCACCTTTTCTCACTGTTGCTCTATACATTTGATGGTTAAGTGGCCGTGAATTCATTAGAACATTTGAGTTCGCTTTTTGTTTTGTGTTACATACTTTGTTGTCAAAATGAGCCATTGTTTCGAGCCGAGTGACATTTTCCGTGC